GCTAGCAATGATTTATACATAGTTGAACTTCATATTCTTGCATGTTGATTACATAGCTGTATGTATCTGTGTTTGTCCGTGTGTGTGTGCGTATGTGTGTGAGCCTGTATGTGTGTGTGCGTATATGTACGTAGTGTTTTGTGTGTCTGTTTCGAGGTGAGTGGAAATCGACGACTATGGAATGATTGGTTAAATACATTTGGTTTCACATTTCGTGAAACTGACGTGAACAGTGAGTTCTTCCAAAATATTTGGGGGGGAAATCACTGTTCACGTCAGTCAACTGAAAAGTGAAAACGAATGTATAAGGTTGCTACGCAACCCGAAAATGCAAAATTGAGACACGCCCTAAGCTGTATATTGGGATCGACATTATTGGGTCTCTATGGTCGCCTTCAATCGGAGGAGAACCGCACACCACACCCATCAGCAGCAACCGAAAAGCAGGCCAGGTGCGTTCCTGGCTGGTGTCAAGCTTCGGGCCTTCCCGGGAAGACCCGAAGCTTTGGGTTAAAGTTCCTGTCAAACTTCGTGTTTCCCGAAAGGGGCAATTTTTGGCCGGAAGACCCGAAGTTGGTCTCGGATGACCCAAAGTGGGTCTAACTTCCGGTCATCCGCGGATGACCGGAAGCTTGACACGCGCCAGGAACGTACCCTAAGGGCGCAGTGCATTTGCGCAAATTCTGAAGTTTGCTTTTTCCTATTCGAATCACCCTTTACTGAGTTCAATTGTGCAGTCGAACAGTTGCTTTCTTGAGGCTCGATTCGCGGGGCGAATTTCTGGAAGGTCAAAAGTGACCATCGAGGGTTTAAAAAACGATCGACCCTCAACGAGCCGCGAGTAACTAAGTAGATTACCCGGTGTAGCCTACGCGGCCCAGACGTTGTCCTCGAAATTATTACTGTAAAATTCGTCAGAATCCGCCCATCTCGCGCAGCTGCTGAGCTTGAGCATGCTTGACCACGTTTAAGAGCTCGATTCGAACGCACGTTCGGAAACCCAGTCGACTGACATTCTGGTTCCTTCACTTACCTGTTTATATTCGAACTCTAAGTTGGTTCCATGCGAGAGCTTTCGCGACATTCACGAACCGGTAACCAGCTGATGTTTGACCGGGTTTTCGAACTTTGATTCAAAAGCACTGCGCCCTTATGGGATGCAAAAAAGCATCGTGGAAACCTAGGTGTCAAAATTGCACGTTCATCTTTTTGATCCGTCACCATCAATCTCCTCGCCGTCTCAACCGAGTTATTGACAAGCTCACACTTACGCGAGTCGCAACCTAGAGAGTCACGCTCAAACGACTCACAAATCTAACGAGTCCCGCGAATGCGAGCCCCACTCGAGCGAGTCGCCGTCACGCCTCCCGCGAGTCGCCGCGCGCACTGATGCTCTTTCCCGGCGGGCTCATGCGCGTGGGCGGCCGCCACCTGCGCGGCAGCAAGCTGCTGCCGCTGCTGCAGCGCCGCCTCGCGCTCGCCGTGGGGACCAACCGCTTCAGCCGCCAGGTGGTGGCGCTGGCGGCGGTGCTGTGCGCGCTGCTGGCGCTGAACATCCTCTTCTATCTCTTCGGCGGAATCTCCATCGAGTTTGTCACCGACGACCCGCTCCCCGACCTCCCCTCGCTGTGGCGCGGCGACGCGCAGCCGCCCCCGCGCGGGCGGCAGTGCGCGGCGTGGCTGGCGGAGGTGGACCCCACGGGCGCGGGGAGCGAGCAGCGCGACTGGCAGCGCCAGCCTGTGGTGGTGGCGGCGGGGGAGAACAGGCGCGTGCAGGGCTGCGCCGTTGGCTGCCTCTTCACGCACGCCCCTCGTGAGCCTCTCCGCCCCTCGTGAGCCCCCCCTCCCCTCGTGAGCCCCCCCCTTTTGCCTCTCCACCCATCCTGACCCCTCCCTCATGAGTGAGACCCACATGAGTGAGACCCACATGAGTGAGACCCTCATGAGTGAGACCCACATGAGTGAGACCCTCATGAGTGAGACCCACATGAGTGAGACCCTCATGAGTGCTCTTGACCCTCATGAGTGCTCTTGACCCTCATGAGTGCTCTTGACCCTCATGAGTGCTCTAGACCCTTGAATGATGACTCCGAGTTACTAAAATGCACGTCCAGGCACTTGAAAGAGAATTCGGGGATGGGATGTAAATTCTGGAAAACGCCAATATGGGGGAGGGGAGCGGGGAGAGGGAGGGGCCGGTGGAGAGGAAGGGATGGGGAGGGGGGGGTGAGGGGGGGGGGGGGGTTGCGGTATGGATGGTAGGGGGTGGTAATCTCCAGGTTTCTTTTTTTTTTTTTTCTTGAAACCAACAGTTGATCTCCCATGTAACCCACTTCAAACCTCACTCTCCCTCCTCCCCTCGCCCCTTCCTCTCCCCTCTCCCCTCGCCCCTCCCCCTCCTCTCCCCTCTCCCTCTCCCCCTCGCCCCTCCCCCTTTCCTCTCCCCTCAGCGGATCACGATACCTGTGATGCCGCGGTGGTAGCGCCACCAGCAGCAGAAGCAGGGGAGGCAGGCAATGGCGCAGAGGAGGGGGAGGGGGCGGGGCAGGCAGCGCCACCGGGGGTGGCGGAGGAGGGGGCGGGGGCGTGTGGGTACGCGGTGGTGTGGCAGAGAGGGGGGCCAAGGGGTGCCGTGGTGATGCCCAACGCGTCCAGAGTGGTGGCTGTCACCAGCAGCCTCAGCTCCGACGTGCCCCTCGGTACGCCCCCTGTTGTACAAACGAATGCCCTGTTGTGAGACTTTCTGTCGACTCAAATGCCCAACGCGTCCACACTGGCGGCTGTGACGTCAAGCCTCAGCTCGGATGTCCCCAATGCGTGCACAGTGGTGGTCGCACCACCAGCCCCAGTTTCCGACGTCCCCCCTGGTCCGTCCCCCCTGGTCCGTCCCCCTGGTCCGTCCCCCCTGGTCCGTCCCCCCTGGTCCGTCCCCCTGGTCCGTCCCCCCTGGTCCGTCCCCCCTGGTCCGTCCCCCTGGTCCGTCCCCCTGGTCCGTCCCCCCTGGTCCGTCCCCCCTGGTCCGTCCCCCTGGTCCGTCCCCCCTGGTCCGTCCCCCCTGGTCCGTCCCCCTGGTCCGTCCCCCCTGGTCCGTCCCCCTGGTCCGTCCCCCTGGTCCGTCCCCCTGGTCCGTCCCCCCTGGTCCGTCCCCCCTGGTCCGTCCCCCCTGGTCCGTCCCCCTGGTCCGTCCCCCTGGTCCGTCCCCCTGGTCCGTCCCCCCTGGTCCGTCCCCCTGGTCCGTCCCCCCTGGTCCGTCCCCCCTGGTCCGTCCCCCTGGTCCGTCCCCCCTGGTCCGTCCCCCCTGGTCCGTCCCCCTGGTCCGTCCCCCTGGTCCGTCCCCCCTGGTCCGTCCCCCCTGGTCCGTCCCCCTGGTCCGTCCCCCCTGGTCCGTCCCCCCTGGTCCGTCCCCCTGGTCCGTCCCCCCTGGTCCGTCCCCCTGGTCCGTCCCCCTGGTCCGTCCCCCCTGGTCCGTCCCCCCTGGTCCGTCCCCCTGGTCCGTCCCCCTGGTCCGTCCCCCCTGGTCCGTCCCCCTGGTCCGTCCCCCTGGTCCGTCCCCCCTGGTCCGTCCCCCCTGGTCCGTCCCCCTGGTCCGTCCCCCCTGGTCCGTCCCCCTGGTCCGTCCCCCTGGTCCGTCCCCCTGGTCCGTCCCCCTGGTCCGTCCCCCTGGTCCGTCCCCCCTGGTCCGTCCCCCCTGGTCCGTCCCCCCTGGTCCGTCCCCCTGGTCCGTCCCCCTGGTCCGTCCCCCTGGTCCGTCCCCCTGGTCCGTCCCCCCTGGTCCGTCCCCCTGGTCCGTCCCCCTGGTCCGTCCCCCTGGTCCGTCCCCCTGGTCCGTCCCCCTGGTCCGTCCCCCCTGGTCCGTCCCCCTGGTCCGTCCCCCTGGTCCGTCCCCCTGGTCCGTCCCCCTGGTCCGTCCCCCTGGTCTGTCCCCCCTGGTCCGTCCCCCTGGTCCGTCCCCCCTGGTCCGTCCCCCCTGGTCCGTCCCCCTGGTCCGTCCCCCTGGTCCGTCCCCCCTGGTCCGTCCCCCCTGGTCCGTCCCCCTGGTCCGTCCCCCTGGTCCGTCCCCCCTGGTCCGTCCCCCTGGTCCGTCCCCCCTGGTCCGTCCCCCTGGTCCGTCCCCCTGGTCCGTCCCCCTGGTCCGTCCCCCCTGGTCCGTCCCCCCTGGTCCGTCCCCCCTGGTCCGTCCCCCTGGTCCGTCCCCCTGGTCCGTCCCCCTGGTCCGTCCCCCTGGTCCGTCCCCCCTGGTCCGTCCCCCTGGTCCGTCCCCCCTGGTCCGTCCCCCCTGGTCCGTCCCCCCTGGTCCGACCCCCCTGGTCCCATCCCATATCGTGCCATGTGCCACACTAAGTAGGCACTAAGGTCGTCCCATGCTTGGTGGTGCACTGTGTGCTTCCGGCCTTGATGCCATGGGTTGTGGCCCCCTGCCATGCCATGATGCCATGGGTTGTGGCCCCCTGCCATGCCATGATGCCATGCAATCTGACGCATGTAATGTGCCGTGTGCTCTTTGTCAGTGCATCACGGTTGCTCACTCCACTCTCCTTGCACGTGCTGCTGTGGGATGGCATGGCATGGCATGGCATGGTATGGTATGGTATGGTATGGTATGGTATGGTATGGTATGGTATGGTATGGTATGGTATGGTATGGTATGGTATGGTATGGTATGGTATGGTATGGTATGGAATGCAATGGGCTGGCATGGGTTGATATGGCGTGGCTTGGTATATACTGGTACTGCATGTGCGGCATGGTATGTTATGGCATAGTATGACATGGCACGGCATGGCATGGCATGGCATGGCATGGCACGGCATGGCATGGCATAGCATGGCATGGGACGGGATGGTATGGCGTAGCACGGCATGGCACGGCATGGCATGGCATGGCACGGCATGGCACGGCATGGCATGGCATGGCACGGCATGGCATGGCATGGCATGGCATGGAATGGCATGGCATGGCATGGCATGGCATGACATGGCATGGAACAACATGGCATGCAGGGCAGCCATCATGGAGGGACCATGCGTTCATGGACCCGCCCACTCCCAAGCATGCATCGCCCGCCATTGTGGCCATCCTCACCCACCCCTGCTCCAGCCTTCAACTCAAGTCAGTCCAATTCCCTTTGCCTCCCTACTGCTCTCTGCACCTCAAGTCGATCTCCCCTCCCCTCCCCTCCCCTCCCCTCCCCTCCCCTCCCACCCAAGTCAGTTCACCAACCGTCCCTGCTCCAGCCTGCACCCCAAGCTGCCCCTCCCTGCCGCCCTCCTTTCGTTCCACGGCCTGCCTGCCTGCCGGCCTGCCTGCCTGCCTGCCTGCCTGCCTGCCTGCCTGCCTGCCTGCCTGCCTGCCTGCCTGCCTGCCTGCCTGCCTGCCTGCCTGCCTGCCTGCCTGCCTGCCTGCCTGCCTGCCTGCCTGCCTGCCTGCCTGCCTGCCTGCCTGCCTGCCTGCCTGCCTGCCTGCCTGCCTGCCTGCCTGCCTGCCTGCCTGCCTGCCCTGCCTGCCTGCCTGCCTGCCTGCCTGCCTGCCTGCCTGCCTGCCTGCCTGCCTGCCTGCCTGCCTGCCTGCCTGCCTGCCTGCCTGCCTGCCTGCCTGCCTGCCTGCCTGCCTGCCTGCCTGCCTGCCTGCCTGCCTGCCTGCCTGCCTGCCTGCCTGCCTGCCTGCCTGCCTGCCTGCCTGCCTGCCTGCCTGCCTGCCTGCCTGCCTGCCTGCCTGCCTGCCTGCCTGCCTGCCTGCCTGCCTGCCTGCCTGCCTGCCTGCCTGCCTGCCTGCCTGCCTGCCTGCCTGCCTGCCTGCCTGCCTGCCTGCCTGCCTGCCTGCCTGCCTGCCTGCCTGCCTGCCTGCCTGCCTGCCTGCCTGCCTGCCTGCCTGCCTGCCTGCCTGCCTGCCTGCCTGCCTGCCTGCCTGCCTGCCTGCCTGCCTGCCTGCCTGCCTGCCTGCCTGCCTGCCTGCCTGCCTGCCTGCCTGCCTGCCTGCCTGCCTGCCTGCCTGCCTGCCTGCCTGCCTGCCTGCCTGCCTGCCTGCCTGCCTGCCTGCCTGCCTGCCTGCCTGCCTGCCTGCCTGCCTGCCTGCCTGCCTGCCTGCCTGCCTGCCTGCCTGCCTGCCTGCCTGCCTGCCTGCCTGCCTGCCTGCCTGCCTGCCTGCCTGCCTGCCTGCCTGCCTGCCTGCCTGCCTGCCTGCCTGCCTGCCTGCCTGCCTGCCTGCCTGCCTGCCTGCCTGCCTGCCTGCCTGCCTGCCTGCCTGCCTGCCTGCCTGCCTGCCTGCCTGCCTGCCTGCCTGCCTGCCTGCCTGCCTGCCTGCCTGCCTGCCTGCCTGCCTGCCTGCCTGCCTGCCTGCCTGCCTGCCTGCCTGCCTGCCTGCCTGCCTGCCTGCCTGCCTGCCTGCCTGCCTGCCTGCCTGCCTGCCTGCCTGCCTGCCTGCCTGCCTGCCTGCCTGCCTGCCTGCCTGCCTGCCTGCCTGCCTGCCTGCCTGCCTGCCTGCCTGCCTGCCTGCCTGCCTGCCTGCCTGCCTGCCTGCCTGCCTGCCTGCCTGCCTGCCTGCCTGCCTGCCTGCCTGCCTGCCTGCCTGCCTGCCTGCCTGCCTGCCTGCCTGCCTGCCTGCCTGCCTGCCTGCCTGCCTGCCTGCCTGCCTGCCTGCCTGCCTGCCTGCCTGCCTGCCTGCCTGCCTGCCTGCCTGCCTGCCTGCCTGCCTGCCTGCCTGCCTGCCTGCCTGCCTGCCTGCCTGCCTGCCTGCCTGCCGGCCTGCCTGCCTGCCGGCCTGCCTGCCTGCCTGCCTGCCTGCCTGCCTGCCCGCCGCCTGCCTGCCTGCCTGCCTGCCTGCCTGCCTGCCTGCCTGCCTGCCCTGCCTGCCTGCCTGCCTGCCTGCCTGCCTGCCGGCCTGCCTGCCTGCCGGCCTGCCTGCCTGCCTGCCGGCCTGCCTGCCTGCCTGCCTGCCTGCCTGCCTGCCGGCCTGCCTGCCTGCCGGCCTGCCTGCCTGCCTGCCTGCCTGCCTGCCTGCCTGCCTGCCTGCCTGCCTGCCTGCCTGCCTGCCGGCCTGCCTGCCGGCCTGCCTGCCTGCCTGCCGCCTGCCTGCCTGCCTGCCTGCCTGCCTGCCTGCCTGCCTGCCTGCCTGCCTGCCTGCCTGCCTGCCTGCCTGCCTGCCTGCCTGCCTGCCTGCCTGCCTGCCTGCCTGCCTGCCTGCCTGCCTGCCTGCCTGCCTGCCTGCCTGCCTGCCTGCCTGCCTGCCTGCCTGCCTGCCTGCCTGCCTGCCTGCCTGCCTGCCTGCCTGCCTGCCTGCCTGCCTGCCTGCCTGCCTGCCTGCCTGCCTGCCTGCCTGCCTGCCTGCCTGCCTGCCTGCCTGCCTGCCGGCCTGCCTGCCTGCCGGCCTGCCTGCCTGCCTGCCTGCCTGCCTGCCTGCCTGCCGGCCTGCCTGCCTGCCTGCCTGCCTGCCTGCCTGCCTGCCTGCCTGCCTGCCTGCCTGCCTGCCTGCCTGCCTGCCTGCCTGCCTGCCTGCCTGCCTGCCTGCCTGCCTGCCTGCCTGCCTGCCTGCCTGCCTGCCTGCCTGCCTGCCTGCCTGCCTGCCTGCCTGCCTGCCTGCCTGCCTGCCTGCCTGCCTGCCTGCCGGCCTGCCTGCCTGCCGGCCTGCCTGCCGGCCTGCCTGCCTGCCTGCCGGCCTGCCTGCCTGCCTGCCTGCCTGCCTGCCTGCCTGCCTGCCTGCCTGCCGGCCTGCCTGCCTGCCTGCCGGCCTGCCTGCCTGCCTGCCTGCCTGCCTGCCTGCCTGCCTGCCTGCCTGCCTGCCTGCCTGCCTGCCTGCCTGCCTGCCTGCCTGCCTGCCTGCCTGCCTGCCTGCCTGCCTGCCTGCCTGCCTGCCTGCCTGCCTGCCTGCCTGCCTGCCTGCCTGCCTGCCTGCCTGCCTGCCTGCCTGCCTGCCTGCCTGCCTGCCTGCCTGCCTGCCTGCCTGCCTGCCTGCCTGCCTGCCTGCCTGCCTGCCTGCCTGCCTGCCTGCCTGCCTGCCGGCCTGCCTGCCTGCCGGCCTGCCTGCCTGCCTGCCTGCCTGCCTGCCTGCCTGCCGGCCTGCCTGCCTGCCGGCCTGCCGGCCTGCCTGCCTGCCGGCCTGCCTGCCTGCCTGCCGGCCTGCCTGCCTGCCGGCCTGCCTGCCTGCCGGCCTGCCTGCCGGCCTGCCTGCCGGCCTGCCTGCCTGCCTGCCTGCCTGCCTGCCTGCCTGCCTGCCTGCCTGCCTGCCTGCCTGCCTGCCTGCCTGCCTGCCTGCCTGCCTGCCTGCCTGCCTGCCTGCCTGCCTGCCTGCCTGCCTGCCTGCCTGCCTGCCTGCCTGCCTGCCTGCCTGCCTGCCTGCCTGCCTGCCTGCCGGCCTGCCGCCTGCCTGCCGGCCTGCCTGCCTGCCTGCCTGCCTGCCGGCCTGCCTGCCTGCCTGCCTGCCTGCCTGCCTGCCTGCCTGCCTGCCTGCCTGCCTGCCGGCCTGCCTGCCTGCCTGCCTGCCTGCCTGCCTGCCTGCCTGCCTGCCTGCCTGCCTGCCTGCCGGCCTGCCGGCCTGCCTGCCTGCCTGCCTGCCGGCCTGCCTGCCTGCCTGCCTGCCTGCCTGCCTGCCTGCCTGCCTGCCTGCCTGCCTGCCTGCCTGCCTGCCTGCCGGCCTGCCTGCCTGCCGGCCTGCCTGCCTGCCTGCCTGCCGGCCTGCCTGCCTGCCTGCCGGCCTGCCTGCCTGCCGGCCTGCCTGCCTGCGCGCCTGCCTGCCTGCCTGCCGGCCTGCCTGCCTGCCTGCCTGCCTGCCTGCCGGCCTGCCTGCCTGCCTGCCTGCCTGCCTGCCTGCCTGCCTGCCTGCCTGCCTGCCTGCCTGCCTGCCTGCCTGCCTGCCTGCCTGCCTGCCTGCCTGCCTGCCTGCCTGCCTGCCTGCCTGCCTGCCTGCCTGCCTGCCTGCCTGCCGGCCTGCCTGCCGGCCTGCCTGCCTGCCTGCCTGCCTGCCTGCCTGCCTGCCTGCCTGCCTGCCTGCCTGCCTGCCTGCCTGCCTGCCTGCCTGCCTGCCTGCCTGCCTGCCTGCCTGCCTGCCTGCCTGCCTGCCTGCCTGCCTGCCTGCCTGCCTGCCTGCCTGCCTGCCTGCCTGCCTGCCTGCCTGCCTGCCTGCCTGCCTGCCTGCCTGCCTGCCTGCCTGCCTGCCTGCCTGCCTGCCTGCCTGCCTGCCTGCCTGCCTGCCTGCCTGCCTGCCTGCCTGCCTGCCTGCCTGCTGGCCTGCCTGCCTGCCTGCCTGCCTGCCTGCCTGCCGGCCTGCCGGCCTGCCTGCCTGCCTGCCTGCCTGCCTGCCTGCCTGCCTGCCTGCCTGCCTGCCTGCCTGCCTGCCTGCCTGCCTGCCTGCCTGCCTGCCTGCCTGCCTGCCTGCCTGCCTGCCTGCCTGCCTGCCTGCCTGCCTGCCTGCCTGCCTGCCTGCCTGCCTGCCTGCCTGCCTGCCTGCCTGCCTGCCTGCCTGCCTGCCTGCCTGCCTGCCTGCCTGCCTGCCTGCCTGCCTGCCTGCCTGCCTGCCTGCCTGCCTGCCTGCCTGCCTGCCTGCCTGCCTGCCTGCCTGCCTGCCTGCCTGCCTGCCTGCCTGCCTGCCTGCCTGCCTGCCTGCCTGCCTGCCTGCCTGCCTGCCTGCCTGCCTGCCTGCCTGCCTGCCTGCCTGCCTGACTGCCTGCAGCCTCATCATTACCGCTTGACTGTCGCCTCTTGGTTTGTTCGTCTGTAGGTCTGTTTGCTTCTGATCCTAACACTCTCCCCATCCATCTCGAGTGGTCTGTGATGGAGTGTGAAAGGCTGTACTGGACTAGCTTGGAGTATACGTGTATAGCGTCTATACGCAAACCGTGTGTACGCTATGCGATGCTTTTGGCTTAGATTAGGCATACACTATTTCAGGCAGGGGATAAATCATCATGGCTTGCTCTGCATAGCTCAGGTACAGGCCTGCTTAGCACAGGCTCTACGAGTGCTCGGAGCAGGCTAAGGTGGCAGGGGTATGGGGAGTGTGCTGAGGTGGCAGGGGTATGGGGAGTGTGCTGAGGTGGCAGGGGTATGGGGAGTGTGCTAGGTGAGTGGCGTATGGGAAGGGTCTTGTGTCGGTGGCGCCTCAACCTGCTGACACTCACTTGCCAGAGTGCCCCTGCACACGCTGACCCCCTGCACACGCTGACCCCCTGCCTACCCGTCACCCCACCCCTGCCCTCTCCTTTCCAATCCCCCCCTGCCTCTCTACCTCCTCCTGTCCGCCCTCCTGCCTACCTGCTCACGTGCACCACACCGCACCGCACCGCACCGCACCACCGCCAGGCTGGACTTGGTCACAGGTGGAGCGGCAGGGGTTGCCCGTGCAGACGCGCGGCCCGTGCCTGCCCGCCGCTGACCCCAGCCTTCTCCCTTCCAATCCCCCGCCACCCACCGCCAGGCTGGACTTCATGTCACAGTGTGCAGCGCCACCGTGTGCAGCTCGGGCTGTGCGTCCCCGCCTCCCACCACGCTCCTCTCCCCCCCCCCCCCCCCCCCCCCCTCTCTACTTCCCTCTGCCCCACTCCTGCCTACCCATTCACGTGCACCGCCCCACCACCAGGCTGGACTTCATAGCACAGGTGGAGCGTCACGGTGTGCCCGTGCAGAAACTGGGTCCCTGCCTACCTTCCTCCGACCCCGGGCACGCGTCGCCGGCCGAGGTGCAGCGGCGGCTGTGCGCGCACCGCTTTGCGCTGCTGTTTGAGGAGCTGGCGCCGCTGCACGTCATGTCGCGCCACTTCTGGGCCGCGCTGGCGTGCGGCACCGTGCCCCTCGTGCTGGCCAAGGGCAGCATCGCGCTCTTCTCCCCCGCCGATAACGCCTTCCTGCAGGTGAGCTCAATACCAGGCGAATAAATGCAACAGCAACACCAACCAAAACCAATGCTGGCGTGCGGCACGTGCCCCTCGTGCTGGCCAAGGGCAGCGTAGCCTTGTTCTCCCCGGCTGATAACGCCTTCCTGCAGGTGCTGCACTTGCCACCAGAATCCCAATCATTTTCAGACCTCCTTGCACGCTTCAACAGTGTCCCAAGTCTTCCTGCAGGTGCTGGGTGCTGCACGCATGAACAGTGTTGCACTCCTTGCTGCACGCATGAACAGTGTTGCACTCCTTGCTGCAGGCATGAACAGTGTTGCACTCCTTGCTGCAGGCATGAACAGTGTTGCACTCCTTGATGCAGGCATGAACAGTGTTGCACTCCTTGCTGCACGCATGAACAGTGTTGCACTCCTTGCTGCACGCATGAACAGTGTTGCACTCCTTGCTGCAGGCATGAACAGTGTTGCACTCCTTGCTGCACGCATGAACAGTGTTGCACTCCTTGCTGCACGCATGAACAGTGTTGCACTCCTTGCTGCAGGCATGAACAGTGTTGCACTCCTTGCTGCACGCATGAACAGTGTTGCACTCCTTGCTGCACGCATGAACAGTGTTGCACTCCTTGCTGCACGCATGAACAGTGTTGCACTCCTTGCTGCAGCCATGAACAGTGTTGCACTCCTTGCTGCACTCGCCTCATCCGTGACTTGCTGCCGTCGCTTCTCCCTCCGTGAAGCATGCCAATCCTTTCCAATCTTCTTCGCGGCTAGCCAGTTGTTATTATTCTTTTCTCTTCTTTTCTGAAATATATGCGAGTTTTACTTTCCTTCGACCCCTCCCTCCCTCCCTCCCTCCCTCCCTCCCTCCCTCCCTCCCTCCCACACCTACCTGCACGGAACGAGCGGGCAGGTGGGGCGGGGGGACGAGGTGCGGCAGGTGGGGGAGTGGGCGGGGTATCTGCAGCAGTCGCAGCGTGCCTACAGCGACATGACACGCTGGAAGGCCGACGTGCCCTCCGATGCCTTCCTCGCCCTCCTCGACCTCTCCATCGTCCCGCCTCACTGCCGCCTCTGCATCCACCTCGCCACCAAGGTGTGTCCGCCTCGCCACCAAGGTGTGTCCACCTCGCCACCAAGGTGTGTCCACCTCGCCACCAAGGTGTGTCCACCTCGCCACTATGTTGTCTTCCTTGCCGCTCTGTACTCTTCCTTTTTTCTGCTGTCCTCCCTATCGCTCTGCTGTTTGCCATGCTGCTAACAATTTCATGCCTGAACGTCTTCTCCAACGCAGTGCTGTTAACCTGCTTTCTTGTTTCTCATTGGCATCATGGCAATGGCACTTGGGACATGGCATTGGGAAAATGGCATTGGGCGCATGGCATTGGGCGCATGGCATTGGGCGCATGGCATTGGGCGCATGGCATTGGGCGCATGGCATTGGGCGCATGGCATTGGGCGCATGACAATCCGCACGTGAACGGCAGCAACTGGTGGCGTGGGATGAGAGCAGCACGCGGAAGGTGTGTCGGTGCTGGGAGGAGGCCACCAACACGACCCTCTACCACCTCTACGTGCGCGAGCGTGGCACATTCGCCTTCCACTCCCTCTTCCTCAAGTAAGCTGCACCATCCCCCCCATCTCCTCTCACATGGGTCTCCATCCCCACCATCCCCACCATCTCCTCTCACATGGGTCGCCTGCTTCTCTCTGAAGCACACACTCTAAGGAGGCTCACAGGCACATGAGCATTGGAGCTCAAACAGTGAGCATACATGCATGCATGCATTCATTATCACACATAGGTTCTTTCATAATCTCTCAAGTGAACTCAAATCTCATATTCTTTAGCCGGGCATCTTGTATGTGTTTCTTTAGCCGGGCATCTTGTATGTGTTTCTTTAGCCGGGCATCTTGTATGTCTTTGTGTTCCCCTGTAATCAATGGCGCATTCTCCTCTTTCCTCCCTCTCCTCCCCTTTTCCCACACCCTTCCCCTTTCCCTCGCCACCCCCCTTGCAGATCATCAGAGCTGACCATGGCGCACCTAGTGCGGGCCATCTACCGCCTCTACCACCTCATGGCTCCCCCTCCTTCCCTCCCCCACTCCTTGCACACCCCCACTCCCGCGACCCCCCTTGCAGGTCATCGGAGCTGACCATGGCGCACCTAGTGCGGGCCATCTACCGCCTCTACCACCGCTTGGACTACCGCCCGCTCTGGCACGGCCACCGCCCCGACGCGCTGTCGGCAGGCGGGGCAGCAGCGGTGCGGGTGCTGCGTGTGTACCCGGTGGAGTCGTCACAGGAGATGGTGCTGCATGGGTCGGGGGCCTTCCGCCGCGACCGCCAGCTGCAGGACTTTGTGGAGGCCACTCCGTGCCCACGCCTTGAAGTCATCCTCGTGTGATCTTATGCGCAGTGCAGATGAAGTCAAGGGTCAAGATGAAGTCAAGGGTCTCCAGCAGCGCAATGAATGACTCATTCGCGCAGTCGGTGATGCGCCTCTGGTTGGTTGTTGCTTGCGGCTCGCTCCACAATGGAGTGACTTCCTTTTAGCAGAGCGTTTGTTTGTGCTTCCTTGAGTGAAATAAGGATGATAAGGATTCCTTATACCCTTGTTGCAGTTATAGCAACCATTGATAAGGTAAGGTGGGTTAAGCCCTTGGTACATTCGACGCCAATGGAATGAACGCGCTAACGCCAAGCTGTCTGCATGCACTGCACAACCAACCACGGGAAAGGCTCCTCCTTGGCCTGAAACCAACGCAGCAGCCCCTTGGGCTTTGGGACTGACAACCAGGGTTCTCGTTATCAGACCAATTTGGTCTGATGGTCTGAGTTTAAGACTTGATTTTTTGTATTTATCTGCTTCCTAAGACTCCGTGTTTTTTCTCATCTGATCAGTAAGACAAGCGTTTCAGGTTCGTATGATTTTCCAGACCATGTAGAATTCTTAATCTGAATATACAGATATCGAGTTCGGTTTCGTCTGAAACCGACATCTTGACCCACTAGGCCATATGCCCAGTAGACGAGGATAGGACCACAGGTACAGCCATTTGCTGCCCTGTAACTGCACACGCATTCAATACGCGTGTCCAGTAGCAGCCTCGCTGTCATGTAACTGCGGCATATGCTGCCAAGAGTTTGTCGTGTGGCTGGCTGTCGGCACCGACGCCAGCCACATCCACGGCAACGCGTTGTCTCGTGCCAGCGCATTTGCATTGTGGTCGTACACCTGATGCCTGTTTGAGCCCCTCCCGGTTGCCTTACGAAGGGGGCGTATAAGCTGTCACGAGCATTTCGCATAAGTTTCGGCAATTCGCAGCTAGCTAAAAATGATTCGCATGTGCTTATAAACAAGATCTGTAACCTAGTTTGACTTCAGTCTCCTCTGCTTGACTTCGGTCTGTACCTAGTTTGACGTCGGTCTGTTCGTTACTACTGGTTGATAACCACGCGACGCGCTTGTAATGTAGGTGCATGAAGCTGGGGAAACAACCTCGGGTGCAGCGTATCCATCCGGCGCAAGGCAAATTCGCGTGCATGGGGTGAGCATCAGCTGTAGTGCCCCCCGCTCCCAACACGCAGCGCCTTTCGGTTCTCAATGCACTGCACGGTGATGGGGTTGACTTTTGACTCTGCAGGATTACAATAGGTTGACTTTTGACTGGAATTTTTTTTTCGTCTTATGTATCAGACTAGAAAAATGTTTTCAGCTTATAATGCAGACCATGAAAATTTCGTCGTCCGAGCATACCGTATTCCCCCGGATAAAACACCCGGGGGTATTATGATAAATACCGGGAAAAAATGGGGGGTCCTCCTCAACGGAAAGTCCTACATAATACCCGGGTGGTTATATATGGCACTTTTTAGTGTAAGGAAAAAAATTAATTAGACAATTTGGGTGTTTCAATAGTCGTTATAACATCACAGGTTGAGGCGAGAATTCGAGTTTTGGCGAGAATGTGAGTTTCACCTCTCGGGCCACGTGCAGTGGAATATTCGCCAGCGTGGCGACAGCGAGATTGTGGGAGGGAGGAAATTTCGGTAGATTCGAAGTGAAAGTGCACGCGAAATTTCATTCAGGGAGCGATTTTCGTCATATCCTCCCGTAAAAAATCTGACTCGATAACAGCTATAATAGGTTTCATTCAGGGAGCGATTTTCGTCATATCCTCCCGTAAAAAATCTGACTCGATAACAGCTATAATAGGGTTTCGTAAGAAAAGGGGGCCGGGTCTTATATAGGATCACCCCAAAAGGGGGGGTATAGTACCAACGGGGTCAAATATAACACCCCCCCCCCCCCCGCACAAGCTACCCGGGGGTGTACAATTCGGGGTGGGTGTTTTATCCGGGGGTATACGGTAAGACGGGGGAAAATTTTTCCAGGCTACTGTCAGACAGCCCCAAAACCTAGCGAGAGCCCTGCTGACAACCCCTTCGCATGGCATTGCACCAACTAGTCTCAAGCACTGTTCCACAATTACAGATGAAAGGTACCTACCGTACCTGCTGAATGGGTACAATTTGTATGTCCACTTGTAGAGCTGAACTTCTTGTGTTCAGCTCGTTGCCACCCAACACAACGCTAAACCCTAGTATAGAATTCGTTCCCAATCTCTACGAGATCAGAATATCATGCATTGAGGTCATAAGGCTCACCATAACGCTTGGAATATTCGCCATTATCCTAATTATAGTACGGCTTTATTAATATTATACGTATATGTATAAAAAGAAACAATGGTGAGACAACGAGTATTCCCGTGTGATAATGTCTCGTCGTCATGCGAAAGGAGCTGTGTCTAAGGCATTTCCCAAATCAGCAATAAGGTCATCCACATCCTCAATTCCCACCTGGCAAACAACAAATTCATATACCCGTATAAACTGATTAGAAAGAAATGCATTCAAACATGGAAGGGCAGCAAAGTACGGTACGCAAGAACGACAGTCCGGAAGATGGGAGAGAGGGAAGGGGAAGGGGGGAGAGAGAGCGGAAGAAGGGGAAGGGGGAAGTGAGAGAGGAGAGCAACTAGAGGCAGTCTTACAGAGAGGCGAATGAGGTCTTCAACGAGGCCTCGCTCCTTGCGCACGTGGGCTGGTATGCTGGCATGCGACATGAAGCACGGCAGGCTGATGGACGTCGCCACACTGCCTGCATGCCCCCTCGTTGCAGTCAGCACCACCATGCAGTAGAGTCGCACACACACACGCAATACGGTCAAGGAAAGCTAGTCACAGTATGGACATGCATGAAGCAGTCACTGTGATGGAGGAATGTCCTGGGGGTGACATTCGAGTCAACTCAATGGACATGCATGCAGCAGTCATGGTCACCAAGGAGTGTCCTCATCGCAATGTAGTCATGCATTCGATGCAGTCATGCATTCGATGCAGTCACGCAATAAATGCAGTCATGCACCCAATACACTCATGCTTTATCCAGTCACACCACTGCAGCATTCGCTTCACACCACCAATTGCGAAACAAGACATGTGATGGTCAAAACCCACTCGGAGACCGCTCTCACTCCACCCAACACTGCTCGCATGTGATCTTACCGAAGCTGACAGCAATGTTAGCAAGCTTCATTGTCTCAACAATGTGCTTCGACGCGTTGATGTTGCCTGTTGTGAAACTGAGCACTGATCCTGCACCCTTGGCCTGACGGAGGTGGTATAAGTAATTATTGGGAAAAATATGGATGGGGAACGAACAATCGAGGATAAATAAGAAAACAAAAAGGGGCTGAACGATCACAAATGGAAATTACCATTCAACAGTGGTGAAATAGAGTCAAGGACAAAAATTAACCGAGGATGCAAGTGAGCGAAAAGCTTGGAGGATGCAAGTGAAGCACCTGAAAGAAGAACCTGAAAGAAACACCTGAAAGAAGCACCTGAAAGAAGCACCTGAAAGAAGCACCTGAAAGAAACACCTGAAAGAAGCACCTGGGAGAAGCACCTTAAAGAGGAACTTAAGAGAGGCACCTGAAGGAGGAACTTGAGAAGAATACCAGAGACATCAATAAGAAAAGCACCTGAGTGCAGCAGCTGGGAGAAATTGGGAGGTGCAGCGCCTCCCATGCCGCATTCACCGTGAGAGGACAGACTGGCATAGATCACTCTTTTCCATGCGAGGTAGGGTGTTGCCAGAAACAAGCATGCAATGTGCGTGTGAAACCCTGGGTGGCGCGAACAACCCTGGGTGGCGCGAACAACCCTGGGTGGCGCGAACAACCATGGGTGGCGCGAATAACCATGGGTCGCGCGAATAACCATGGGTCGCGCGAATAACCATGGTGTGGAACTGGGCATGGAGACAGATGCTGGGAAGGCACCTGGGAGATTGGCATGGGATGGCAGACTGGCATCGAACACTCTACCCACGGGTGGAGGGGTTGCCGTGGACAAACAAGCACTGAGTGTGAGAGGGAATGGCCACCGGTGTGAGTGGGCTAGGCTGGGAAATGACCTGGGAGAAGTGTAGGTCGCGGTTGGTATGCGATGGCAGGCCGGCATAGAAGGTTCTTTCCACTCGCGGGTGACTGTCTAGGAACTCAGCTATTCTCTGTGCGTTTGCCTGCACACGAGCATCGGCATGCAAGGGCGAGAAGCAGCAGCAGCATGCATGGGTAAGACGTTGGCTGTTGGATCATGATGCTCAATAGCATCTAAAACACACACACACACACGCGCGCGCGCGCGCGCGCACACACACACACACATGCGCGAGCGCACACACATGCACGCACGCACACACACACAAATGTCAACGGGAGTTGTGTGTTAGCCCCGTCCTCGCTTGGGCGGAGCCGACTTCGTGGTCGGGTGTAGGGGTGCAGCCGACCTGCAGCAGTGGACGAGCTGGTTGACGAGAAGGTCGACCTGCACGGGTGCCACTGCATGGGCGCCGACTTCACGATGGCGCCGACCTAAGGGAGGTCGACCTGGAAAATCGACCTGCGGAGGGCGTCGACTTGGTGACGCCAACTTGGGGCAGCCGACTTGGGTGGTCGGCTGATAGAACTGCTGGTCGACTTGGTTGGTCGACCAGGCCTGCTGGTCGACTTGGTTGGTCGACCAGGCCTGCTGGTCGACTTGGTGGCTGGTCGACCAGGCGTGATGTTGACCTGGTAGTCGACCGAACACGATGGTCGACGTAGGAGGGGCCGACGTCGACCACGACAAATGGATTTAGGACGCCAAGCTGGTGGGCGTCGAGTAGCAGGGCGTCAACTTGGTGACGCCGACTTCGGGTAGCCGACTCTGATGGTCGGCTGGTGCTAGTCGACCTAGAGGTGGTCGACCTGGAGTGACGTCGACCTGGAGTGGTCGTCGACCTGGGTGGTCGACGGGCACGCACAGGAGCAGCTGGTCGACTTGGTTGCCCTG